AGATATACATAGATACCCATGTTATTCATAGGAATAGTTTTAGTTTTAGTCATAGTTATATAGTTATATAGATATACATAGACACCCATGTTATTCATAGGAATAGATTTAGTTTTAGTTATAGTTATATAGTTATATAGATATACATAGATACCCATGTTATTCATAGGAATAGATTTAGTTTTAGTTATAGTTATATAGTTATACAGATATACATAGATACCCATGTTATTCATAGGAATAGATTTAGTTTTAGTTATAGTTCCCTCGACTGTAGGGAGGGTCATATGAAAAAAAATAGTTTGTGTGTTTGTGTGTTTGTGGCAGGGTCAAAAGAATACCGGGGTCAAAAAAACATCAGAGATGAAGTTCATTTAGGCATAACTTGTAAAGTTCGGCCAAAGGTAATCCAGGTCGGGAAATCCGAACCTTAGGTAAGGTTTTACATGCGGCCATTCCATTGGCTAACATGCTCACCAATCAGAAACGAGCTTTTTTATTTTGAGCTTTTCGGGCCTTTTCATGAAACTTTACTATAGGTTATCGAGGGCCAGGATTCCGAATTTGAGGTCGGATTTTATATCCGACGTTCTCATTGGCTAGAAAGTCGGCCAATCAGAAATGAGCCTTTTTATTTGAAGCTTTTTGTGCTTTTTGATGAAACTTTGATAAAGGTTATCGATGGCCAGGATTCCAAATTTGAGGTCGGATTTTATATCCGACCTTCTCATTGGCTAGGAAGTCGGCCAATCAGATATGAGCCTTTTTATTTTAAGCTTTTTGGGCTTTTTGATGAGACTTTGATATAGATTATCGATGGCCAGGATTCCAAATTTGAGGTCGGATTTTATATCCGACCTTCCCATTGGTTAGAAAGGCGACCAATCAGAAATGAGCTTTTTTATTTTAAGGTTTTTGGGCCTTTTGATGAAACTTTACTATAGGTTATCAAGGGCCAGGATTCCGAATTTGAGGTCGGATTTTATATCCAACCTTCCCATTGGCTTACATGCCGACCAATCAAAAATGAGCTTCTTTATTTTAAGCTTTTTGGGCCTTTTGATGAAACTTTGATATAGGTTATCGATGACCAGGATTCCTAATCTAAGGGCAGATTTTATATCCAGCCTTCCCATTGGCTAGAAAGCCGACCAATCAAAAATGAGCTTTTTTATTTTAAGCTTTTTAGGCGTTTTGAAGAAACTTTACTAAAGGTTATCGAGGGCCAGGATTCTAAATTTGAGGTCGGATTTTATATCCGACCTTCCCATTGGCTAACATGCCGACCAATCAGAAATGAGCTTCTTTATTTTAAGCTTTTTGGTCTTTTTGATGAAACTTTGATATAGGTTATCGATAGCCAGGATTCCGAATTTGAGGTCAGATTTTATATCCGACCTTCCCAT